TCGACGTGAGACGAGTTATTGAAGAGAAAATATGCCGGACGTGGTTTTTGTACATGACCTCTTATCGGAGTCTTCCTACTTATTTTGGTGCCTCAGGCTAGAAGCCTAGAAAAGTTTCTGTTGGTGGTTTCACTGACTCTCCATGTTTAAATATAAATAGAATGCATGGATAGCCTGCTGCGCGCACCGAAATCTCAAAACTTGACTAATTATGTTACGTCTCTGTATTGATGTATGCGTTATATTTTATTAATGACTCGTTTAGATGATACACTTAGTATTTGGAGTGGGTCAGCTATGGTCTTTGCGACGTCACAGTTGCTACACCCTGTATGAACTTAGTTTCGGCTTTACGTTCAGCTGCGAAATCAAGCAAACGGTGCACAGTCAATTGAATTGTGGAATAAATAACTTCATTTATAAGTCTATTGAAATGCTTTACTCCTCATGTAGATTTTACTGTGCAAAATCCGGACGTTTCGCATCCGGCTGGACCCACCGATCTTCAGGGGACATGCAATAACCAGTACGAAAACAATGCCAACGATGTCGTTGCATACTGTACAATGATCTTAATGTATAAACACGATCATTGAATTGTTTATAGGTGATGTAGTTCAAGCTGACTGGTTTAGAGACGTAGTTTAGCCTTGGTTTTCCTCACAAACGTGTTTGTCGGTTTGTTCCAAGTTGATGATAATTTGCCTTTGTGAGACAGTTTCTTGTCGCTCTCTCCTATCCACGTTCGCGTGCTTGTATCATTAGCGCTGATTAATCTTCCGCACATGACTTTCGTAATTCTCGCGTGTTTTACTTGAATCAGGAAAAGAATCCAAAGTGCTGTTATTACCGGCGTTATGATGATGAATATGATTGGTTGGCCCTTATGCGCATAAGTATCATACTTGAAACTAAAGTTCAGTGTACATTACCTTTCGTCCCCCTCAGTCTCTAATGTAGAGTTTTCCATCAGTAGTTGTATTGCGTCTTATGCGAATTAATCACCTAGCTGTTACCCGAAAGTTCAGCCATTCGGATGTCTGTTTTGCCATGCACTCATGCACGATCGATGATGCCCTTTTTGAACGAGGCGTATCATCACGCTACGAGTAAAGACCGGAAACTTGCCATGTCGACCAATGATAGGGGAGCTTTAGCTTAATCATAATTCTGCATGTGTATATCTCTCAGTAGGACGATAAACGTCTTGACGATTATCAGTATTTAAGCCAGCGACATATCCTGTGATCGCGAAATTTAACGTTCATGTGGCGACGGCGACATTGCACATCAACCAAAGGAAGAAGGTTGACAAAGGCTAAAAAGAAGAATACATGACAAACCGAAAGACACAAATGGCATTTAGTTTTGCGAAATGATTGACTGTAGTTTTACAGACGTTTCTTTTAGTCTGATGCGTATATATATCCCCTATTGCCTCTTGTTCCCGATACCCTTATCGGAATTGCCGGCGAAGTACCAGTCGACGCCCAATGGCAGGTATGCGTTTCGTATTTCACCTTGTAAACGCCAGTATTTCAGGTTCGCTGTTAATCTGCAGTGCGGCTGTTCGGCGAATCCTCGCGATGATATCGCCCTTCACCTGTCCCCTCGCTTTGATGGCAACTTGTCGAGGGTGGTTCGAAATTCTTTGCAACAGCAGAACTGGGGTTCAGAAGAAAGCATCGGCCATTTTCCGTTCGCTCTTGGCAAACCGTTCGAAATACTAATCCTTGTACAGCTTGATCACTTCAAGGTATACGGTGTTTTGCGTAGATTTTGCACGTTCATTCAAAGCCGTGTATTTTGTTGCTGCTGTTTTCATGTATCTACATCGTTGAGTTTGTGTACTGTCCCATACGGTGATTTGTGTGAAACTTTCACTGATAGCTGTCCTAAGTCTCTCTTCGTTAATAATAATTAAACAATAAGCAAGGTACAGCATTTAAAGGGCCAGGAAACTGCTAAGGCAAAGGTTTAAACTTCAGTTTTATTGCTTGAGCTTTCTGAGTAATCTATTAATAGTCAAATGGATAATTTATTGAGCGTTTAATAAAAATTGATGGTGCTATTTCGTGCTTATACGCTCCAGATGTTACGATACCGCGGAACCGTTGCCTTGTCTTAATCGGTCCACCGTGTCCAATGCTAACACACGACTATACCGTGGGAATCGAGAGAAGTTTCAAGAGATTGTTGTTAATTCTTTGAAAAGACGCGGAGCATCTCATAACCCTGACGAAACCTTAGAGACTTAAATTTTACACTGTTTATTATTACAGCACATAAATCTTCAAAAGTTTGTTGCGAACTGGCGTGTGGTATTGTTCGAACTTCGGAGGTGGTGGTTCTCCCGTGAGCAAGGAATTACTTGCATGGACTTGCTGAGAAACGAGTAGAAAGTCGCTGACTTGCAAACAGCAAGGGTTAGCAGAGTGATCTGGTGTGTTCATAACAGAATGCGCGAGAATTACGGCCAATGGATCTGATGCAAGTGCCTTACGATTTTGCAGTTCACCTTATCCAACCTGACAGCTGACTACTGAAAATGATAATCAGCACATGGCGTTGTGCTGTTTTTACTACTCGTATAGTAATTAAAAAAGCAGACAAAATCAGTACCAAGTAGTTATGAATAAATTCAATGTATCAACAGATGCTAAGAAAAGCCGCTTGCTTGCAAAGAGGAATAAATCTTTTGCCGCGGAAGTGAACCTCTATTGCATTATTTCTTATCTTTAATATCCTTAATATATCTCAGAAAATGCCTGAAGAACAATTACGGTTCTGCTCCGTTCCCTTATTAATTCAGGTATCTCACTTGCACTTAAATGTTATTCACTCGTGCTTCCGAATCCTTTATAATGCACCTTGGGATCCATTTTATACAAGAAATTTAGCTATTAAGTTAATTGTTACAAGTTGTGTGTTGCTTAACGGTTAAACTGTGATAGAATTTTATTGGTAAAAGATAACCCACCCTTAAAGTACGAATAAAAGAACATCAAGATTCCATTAGCAGGAGTCTTGCAGAATATTTTCCGGGTTTTAGCGCATTCCATAGAATGCGAACGGCTTCAGTAAAAAAGACATCATTAACCAAAGGACTAGATTATAGAACTCCTATATATTTCAATAAATATGGAAAGCAGGTCAAAAACTGCTCCTCCTACAAATCTGTTTCGTCTGGAAATTCATAATATGAACCATCTGTCTGTGCCAACTTCTATACATGGATTCTCTAGTTTTACCCATGCTTCTTCTCAAAATCACTCTGGTCCCTTCAAATATCCTTTAATTTTGTTGTACACATGCACGTCATATTTTCCATCATTGGCTATATTTTAATTGCTCATTTCTTTCTTGCCCAACGTTTTACTGTATCAGTTTTATTTGTCGAATATCCCTGGTGATAATTTGAAATTTTGTATTGAAGGGGGAATCTTTTGCCTCTAAAATCATTGTCTTGCAAGAGGTGAGTTGTATAATTTATACTCGTGTAACATTAAATTTTGTTCAATGATTTTCAAAACTTTAGCTGCACGTTTGGCTATAATAGGTAATGAGCCAAACAGAAACAAAGACTCCGCGTTGAATTGAAGCGATGATTTGAAGTGTGTATGTGATGTGTTACTGCCGCAAAGCTCAGATTGCTTTTTGATACAATCTAAAATTTTTACTGATTGTAATAACGTTTCATTTACTGCCCCGCTCAGCCAAAGTTTTTTAATTTTTGTGTATAGTTTGTTTATTTTTTAGATTGCCATAAATGGAGAACATTACACCGAGTTCCGTTACCGGATGCCGTTGCAGAAAATTACTGCCATTGCTATCGATGGGGATGTTATTCTTAACAGTGTTCGATGCGAAGGAGCGGTAATTTTTCTAATAACCTTTCTTTGGCTGATTCCCTACGTATAATTCATTATTTTATCCTATTATAGATAAAAAATAGTTTAATAAATAGTTCATTTGAAAACGTAAAAGTGGTTTACTAGAAATACAAATATTTATGAAGCTGAAGTTCTATTTAAAGTTTTCACTAGGGGGACAACATTTTTCAACATAATATTTACATAATTTCAGTATAATATTTACCCCTTAAAGCTAAAGGGTAACGTGAAAAACAAATTAAGCTTCGACAGGGAACAGAACATGGCGCGGTCGCCACTACCAGAGAAACAAGCAACTCTGCTACATTGAGCATTGTTCAGTAATGCCGCCTCATTGCGTTGCAGTCTTTGAGTATGCATGCTGAAGCTGGTGTGAATGACGGTCTGTGGAGCTTTGTTCGGTAAGCAGAGAGCAACAAATCTTGATTGGGTGGATGTGCTCTGCGACAGGCACCGATAAAGGCTGTGGTGAGGAGGCTGGGCTGGGTTATCTTCATCTTCATCTTCCATCGCCGCGCGGAGGCAGACGCAGCAGACAGCTTCCAACGTTCCCGATCCTGTGCCAGAGTCTGAGCTTCGGCAAAAAACAACTGCAGTCTGGAACAGATTCCTTCCATATATTTGCACCACGTTAATCTTGGCCGTCCCCTGGGCCTTCTGCCGGTCGGATTTACAAGGAAGAGTTGCTTAGCCTTCCTTTCTGGAGGCATTCACAACACGTGCCCAGGCAATCACAGTTGTGACTTCTCAGTCTGGAGAAGCAAAGGCTGTATTCCAAGGCTCTTCCGGATGTCACTATTCCGG